TTCTGTCCCCTGTTGTCAAATCTTAATGAGAGTCCTACAAAATTTCCTCATTTTTAAAAGCAACTACTATACATCAAACAATATAACAAAAGCCAGAACATGAAAGTGTCTTTTAAAGCATCGTGAAAAAAAGGAACATGAGAAGCATGTTGGAGCCAGTGCAGGAGCTTTAAGGGGCTGCTGTTCGGCTGATTGCTGGTTCCTCTGCTGCCTCTGTTGTTATACTTCTACATGTGCGCATTAATCTTAGCACTGAAATACCAGTTAGTAATCAATTCATGAAAACCTTTCTTATTATGGCATAATAAACATAGAATTTGATAGCCATATAAGCAACAAGGCAAGACATTCCACCACATATTGGTTATTATATGTACTAAAGAAATCTGCCCCTACCACTTATGTGATAATGCAATTAATAATAGCTGAAAGTACTGAAAAGCATACACCACACCGACCTTCTATAAAGGCACGCATTAAAAAAAAGTGCTAATTAAGGTAGCTAATGCTAACCAATGCTAGACATGTGGTGTTAATGTGATGTATATCTTTTAAGCTCCCAGGGCTAATATATTGATTTTAAAACATATATATTTATAGTCTTTTGTTCATTGGTTTTTAAGTAACCAATGAAAAATATGATTCATTAACCCACTGTGTTTCTTTTATAGGGTAACCCTGGTACTGATGGTATCCCTGGAGCTAAAGGTTCAACTGTAAGTAACCCACAATATTTATGATAAATTAATGTGATTTATTTAGATAAAGATTTTTTTTTAAATGATCAATAGTTGTCATGTATTTATTACAGTTATATAATACACTGTAACTCTCTTTTATCCTCTAGGGTGGTCCTGGTATTGCTGGTGCTCCTGGTTTCCCTGGCCCACGTGGTCCTCCCGGGCCACAGGGTGCCACTGGCCCTCTTGGTCCCAAAGGTCAATCGGTAAGTTTACTATCTACAATTTCAGGGGCATCTGACATTAAATCTGACTGCTACTTATACATGCTGGCCTTATTTCTAGACTGATTATTAACAGTAATTGATCATTTCTAATCCATAGATACATAATCTAACAGGGAAGTATCATGGCTAACGCAATAAGTATTATGTTCTTTCTGTTTGTCTTAGGGTGATCCCGGAATTGCAGGTTTCAAGGGTGAACAGGGTCCTAAGGGTGAAATTGTAAGTATTTAAAATCTTAAATACCTTTTTAAACTTAAATATCACACATTGCTAAATTTATTCTGTATTTCCTTTTTGTTTTTGTTTTTTTTGTGACACCCTCATAATAAAATAACTTAGATATCAGGTAGATACACTTATTCTGTAGTGTAAAACCAGACTTTGTGCTAAAGTGAAATATGAGTTTGTATATATTTAGGCAGGTTATCCATCAATGACAAGCAAACCTTGTGTACCAACATTCCAGAGATAATTTTATATAAGCTTTATAAAGGCTTGCTATTGATTACCAGTTCCAAGTAAAATTGTTATCATTTGGTTCATTTCAAACTATGCATAATACTAACTGTACTTTGGCACTTACAATCTCAAAAATGTAAACATATAATTCTTGCCAAGATACTATAATTAACTCCATCATATTCTGTACTGTTTTACAGGAGGGTATACAGTAAGCCGGCATACATATATAAGTTTAGGTGACTTAGCACTCTGGACCGGTATAGTTTGTTAGCACCATTATAGGCTAGTATAGCCAGGTCACATAATACAGTACAACACTTTGCATTGTGCATTACTAATAGGTCTGTATGTTTAATTTTAGGGGCCCTCAGGTCCTCAGGGTGCTCCTGGTCCAGCTGGAGAAGAAGGCAAAAGAGGTCCCCGTGGTGAGCCTGGCGCCGCTGGTCCACTTGGTCCTCCTGGTGAAAGAGTAAGTTTAAATTACATTTAGAAATCATGTATCTAGAAACTGTTTAAGGGCTTGGCAAATTCGAAATGGAAGTGCATCACACATACAACTGGGTCATGTGAAAAATTAAGTACAACTCATGAAAATTGACATTTTCCACATAAGTGAAAAGGCAAACATTTGATCTTTATTTAGACAGTGCCCACAGATAAAGGGAATATACTTAAATGAAAACACAGGGAAAAATTGCCTTTTCATCCATTTATTTACAAAAATATCAATAGATGTAATAGTGCACTATGTAAAAAGTAAGTGCAGCATTGCCATCAGATGCTGGTATTGCCCTCTTTTGCGTAAGTATTTTCTTGTAGGTGTTTTGTATAACTGACCACCAGTTGTTGAGACTTTTGACCACATTCCTTACAAGATGTTTGAGGCTTTCCTCATGTAAACTGCCAATTTCAAATCCCCACACAACAGGTCAATGGGATTCAAATCCAGGTTTTGACTAGTCTATAAACCATCAATTCTTCTTTCTGAGCAAATCCTTGGTGGATTTGTTAGTGTGCTTTGGATTATTATCCTGTTTAAAGATCAATTACCGCATCTATTCAACCTTAGTAAATCAACCCTAATGGCTGCAAGCTGCCCAGTCTCTGGAACAGCAAAAACCCCCCCCAAACAATAACATTTACACTACCATGCTTCATAGTTACTATGAGGATCTCCTACTGAAATACTGTCTTTGGTCTACCCTAAACATGTTTACTGTTACTGTGACCAAACAACTCAGCATATTGTTCTGGAAGGCCAGGTTTTTGTCTATATGTTTAATGAAAAAAGTGGCTCTTCTGTTCTTTTTGGACAGCAAACGCTTTTTCCTTGCATGCTCCAATGCAAGTTAAATTGATGCAGTATCTGATTGTAGATGGATGCACTTCACATCAACTGTTGCAAGAGTTACCTGCAGATCCTGTGAAGAAATGTTGGCCTCTTTGGACTCTGTTAGCATCAGTCAGCTTCTAGGCAAGCCAGCCCTGGACAAATTAGCAGTCACTGAAAATTTATGCCAATTTTAAATTATTTTCCCTTTGTTTCAAATTAGCAGTCACTGGAACTCTATCCCAATTTTAGATTTTAATTTTTTTACTGAGTTAAAACAATTTGCACATTTTTAAATCCCTTTTCAGACATAACCTTGATTACGTGGGCCTTAGAATGCTCACTTGAGCATGTCATGGTAATGCCACACATGTCAATAGCAAAGAGAACAGCAAACCCTAGATGTGTGAGGTTGAAATAAGACAGGATCTATTTGCAGGGGTGTCAAACTGCGGACCTCCAGCTGTAACAGAACTACAGGTCCCATCATGCCTCTGCCTTTGGGAGCAATCCTTGTAACTGTCAGCCTTGCAATGCCTGATGGGACTTGCAATTCTGCAACAATTGGAGGGCTACAGTTTGATACCCCTGCTCTATGGAGATTCTAATTATTGTCATCTAATCTGGAACGCATAATTCAAATTTCATGGATTTAAAGTGCTGCCATTAGTGCCATAAGGTGTGCTTCCCATATGCTTAATATGAGTTTTCATTAATTCATAATGAGAATGAATACACAATGTCAATTTTAGGTCTCATTTATATAAGCAGGTCACCTTTCTCTGCAGTCACTGTCTAAAAGAAGATCTAATGTTTGTCAGTTTAGATAAAGTGAAAAGGCCAACAATTTCCATGGGGTGTTCTTATTTTTTGACATGACTGTATATATGAAGAAATGAATAGTTGAAAGCCAAGGTAATTAATTGAAAAATATGTGCACCCCAAGGATAAGGATTACTTGAAAAAGAATAATGATATTTAGATATTACAGTCTATGGGGTTGGTTTTTCTTTTTTTAACATGCTTGTCATTTTATAGTTTCATTATTAAATTATACACTTTTTATTCCTGATCAACATCTGTCACTCAACTTTACTCAGTACAGTAAAACATATCAGCCGGGCAGTGTTGCCAAAAAGAAACTTGGCTCTTTTCCTCATTGAAAAAGGCACCTTAGCTGGGTGGACTGGCTGAATGCTTTTAGAAGAAGGTCAAAAAAACAGAACCCAAAGCACTAACCATATTTTTTCTTACATTTTATTTTGTGGTCAACAGGAAAAGCTGTTGAAAGGTCTGGTATTTTGAGGGGAGGGTTATTTTTTAAAGTAGAAATATAGCCAAATCTATTTTGGCTGCACTTCTCCTGGGGATCACAGGAGTGCAGTTAATACTGCTTTCCTGTGCTGTCACTCTTTACAGTAGGGATCTACACAGATGCCTGGCCCGTCAGGTGGTTCAGCCTCTAGGTTGCTGAGAGTCTGAGCCAGCCTCTCCTGCCCCCTCCAAACCGCGATGCTCCATTGAGTGCTGGATGGGCAGTGCAGAAAGCTGGTGATAAAAAGTCACTGGATTTCTGCTTACTGAAGGTGGAGAACTGAGCTATCAGCAGTCTTTGATTGCTCAGTTCTCAGTTTTAGAAGTGGCAGGGAACAGATGCAGCATCAGAAAGATGTTGCATCCGCCTAGGTGAGTATAAATGTTTTTTTTTTTTTTTTAAAGCCATACTTTTAAGTCCAACTTTTAAAGCATACTATTAATGGTGATGGTCACATGTTTTTGCTGTAACATAGCAGGAACTCCCAAACTTGGGTATCTTGCTGTGTGTGGACTGATATCGTTTGTAAATAAGACATACTATTACAAAATGCATACATAGGTAAGCCCCCTAATCTGACATGAAGTTTTAACAATTGTTCTGCCTTATTTGTATTACTAGGGTGCTCCCGGCAATCGTGGTTTCCCTGGTCAAGATGGTCTTGCTGGTCCCAAGGTGAGTGCAATGACAAAATAAGAAGCCAAGAATAATAAGGCTTGCTAGTATTAGCTAGTTAGTTAAATAAAGAAATGACTTTTGAATTAAAAATGCCACACAACCCTACATTGTTCAGTGGCATATTATTAAAGCAAAAGTAAAGTATTTTTAATTCAGTTAAACAAGTATTGCTTTGACTAAATTTCCTAACACAAGTTTATTTGTTCTTATTGACAATTTTCTTCTGTTTTAGGGTGCTCCTGGTGATCGTGGTGTCCCTGGCCTTGGTGGTCCAAAAGGAGCTAATGGTGACCCTGGTCGTCCAGGTGAACCTGGTCTCCCAGGTGCTAGAGTAAGTACAAATAAATTGGCAAAGTTTGATATGGAATCGGGATAGTGGCCTCTGAAAACACTAGATAACATACAATTTTCGATAGTAAATGTTTGTTCCCTATACTGATGTGGTGGGGTATAGTGATCCCAGTTGGAACACATATCAGATAATCGTTGTAGTATGGGGAATAGGTAATAGAATATTCTGTTGAGAAAATCTCAGCATTTAAAAAATAATCCTCACACCTTGCTCTAGAGACTAGGCTGAATGAGTATTTTTTTTTTTCCTTTTACAAAGAGTTTTATTGCAGAATAGATAACAGCAGAGAATCAGTCAAAAACAGATGCACTGACTGACAGGGATAAAACATACAAGTTTTCTGGTGAATAATAGAGTATGTACTGATGGAAAGACAAGAAAATAAACTTCATGCACAAGTGCTGTATATAAAAAAAAGGAAAAAAACAAGTTGTAAAAATGGTAGACATTTAGAAACCAATGACATAATAAACTAAAAGAAAAGTTGTCACTATATCAGCATCCACTGAATGAGTATTTTTAGTTGCACTACACTTATTATCAAAGCTAAAACAATCAAATACTATGATGTATAATCATAGACAACTACTGTTGCACCATGTGTATGGAAGATCATGGTCATTATACACACCACATTACCATAGAGTATCAGGAAGTATTCCATTCTCCTTTATGACATGTCTCCTGCATTGGAGTCTGTTTTTTTATATATAAAGCTCTGATAAATTACTCTTAAAATGACCAGTAGTTGAAGAGCATTGTATCAAACAAGGGGAATTATAGTGTTCAGTTGGCCAATACTATAAATCTTGACAAGTCCAAAACAACTTTTAAATCTAGGACGGTCAATGTGAAATTAACTGATGAGCATTTCATTTCCAATAGGGTCTTACTGGTCGCCCTGGTGATGCTGGTCCTCAAGGAAAAGTTGGTCCAACTGTAAGTATATATTACATCCTAATTTGATGTAAATTTGTATTGAAATATCATTCATTTTCACTTGTTTTATATAGAAGTTAATAAAAATCAACAGACTGATGACTTGATGTTGTTGCTTCCAGGGTGCTGCTGGTGAGGATGGTCGTCCAGGACCTCCTGGCCCACAGGGTGCTCGTGGACAACCTGGTGTCATGGGTTTCCCAGGACCTAAGGGTGCTAATGTAAGAGACATATTTTTTTTCTCAAATGTACATAGGAGTATACTTATGTGGCTGATTAGTGAAAATGAACATGGAGTGTAGGGGATTACAAGATCAAGCTGGAATATGTAAAATGAATTTTATTTGCCATTATCATCTCGCTGCTTGACCATGGTTGCCACTAGCTTATTGTGTTATGGCAAAGAGGAACATGCAGATACGCTTTCAAGAGTAAAAAACTGGCATGTTAACAGTTATACATACCAGTGCAAGTGCCATTGAAGTGGATGTGCAGCTTATAGCAAGAAATCCGCTTTCAGTTACTATTGGCAGCATCACTATGGTTTTGTTGCTCCAGTTTTGTAAATGCTATTCATTTGGAAACAAAGTAAAAGCAACTATAGCTAAAGAGAAATAAGTTTGGAAGATATGTGTTATTTCTTTTTTACCAGGGTAAATATGAAATACTGCATATGAATGTAATGTATCCTTACTACCTTGATACCAGGAGGTAGCAGGAAACTTGAACTTCAGGTTTTCTGCACAGTGATTTACTTCTATGTTGTGGCTAGCCTTAGTAGCTGGCATCGTAAATAGCAGGAGGTCAAATTACACCAGTACAACTGAATCAGTCAGAGGCTCCCCCTCTTTCTTAGCTAGTAGATATAGTATTATGGATGTTTATTTAGACAGGGACAATGAACAAGGGAAAATACAGTGCTGGGCTTCCTTATTACAAAGCCCAGCATGCCCTGCAAAGTAAATGTCATGAGAGCGTCTTTTTATTAAATGATGATGTTCTATGTCCCCAATGATATCTTCAGTGATCCAGCCCCTATAAGGAAGTAGATATGTCTTATAATTGGAGACCATTGTTCATCATCCTGTCAGTTTAGTTTGGCTAAATTTGCAGACTGTTTTTCAGATGGTTGTTTTTGACTGTTTTACTATTGCTAAAAGAAATATTAAATCTATAAACTTACCTATTTGATATTATTTTCAAACAGGGTGAACCTGGCAAGCCTGGTGAAAAAGGATTGGTTGGTGCTCCTGGTCTAAGAGTAAGTACATATATTTTTCAGGATATACATTTTTATTTGTGATCGTTGATTCAGATAAACCTTTCCTACCATGCCAAGTTGTAGCACAAGTGCTATGATTTCAGGCCATGAAAGATATAGCTATTTCCAAGTGGGCATGATTTGGCAGTATGTATGTTACTTAGGAATGGTTTGGTGCATTGGGGTGGGTCTTTACAATTTGGAAATATTGAAAAGCATAGTTAATCTATATTTTTGTAATATGAGTTACATTGATGTAAATTGAATATATCCACATACAGATGGGCATCTAGCTGCTTCTAGCTTTATTCAAAAAAATATGTACCTAAAATAAAAACAGTATACCAAATTGATATTAATTTGACAGAACCTTGATTTTGCTTTCACTCATTCTATAGTAATTTTATCAAATATATATAACTATATTAATTTTATGTATACGCTTTGGTTCTTTATCTCCCCCATTCATATGCTGAAAATTAAAAATAGTTAAAGTAAAACTAACAAGAAATGAATTTCTTTTCAAGGGTCTGCCTGGAAAAGATGGTGAAACTGGTTCTCAAGGTCCATCTGGCCCATCTGTAAGTTCTAATTTATTTTCTCTTTCATTTGGTAAAATTAAGACTCTGAAAAGTGATGAGAAATTGCAATCTATATAACATATTTGCATATTTAATAAAGCATCGCCTTTGCTGTAAGATGTGTCATGCTAAGTTGAAAGCATTGGTTTTCCAGTACTTTACCATTAACTATAAATTTGTTTCCATTGACTAATGAAAAGTAAATACCCTGAAGTATAAGTATAAGCAGTTTCTAACTGTAAGGAGTAAGGAGTGTAGTGTGTAGCATCACTGTGTAAATTTCTCACTGAATGTTTAATTTAAATTAATGTATTTTTATGCAAAATATTACACATTTAATGTAAATGTAATGCTAATGGCTGTATCATCTTTAAGGGTCCTGCTGGAGAGAGAGGTGAACAAGGTGCTCCTGGTCCTTCTGGCTTCCAGGTAAGTCCATGTAAATGCTTATAGTTTGCATTATTCCTCAATAAAATTGTGTTTATTTTCAGTCTCTGAGTTACAAAAATTTAATGGATTTTTTTCGTATTCATTTGCTAGGGTCTTCCTGGGCCTCCAGGTCCTCCCGGTGAGGGTGGCAAGCCAGGTGACCAGGTGAGTAATTTGCAGTTTGCAGCACCAACTATCTGTGGTTAATGTTCAATTCTTAAGAAAGTGTACCTTCAAGGTATTGACAAGCATGGATCATCATGGGTCTAATAGTTATCAGTGATTCACAATGTTAAAATGCAAATATTACATCCTAAGTAATTTCTATTTATATTTTAAGCATTTATATTTTTGTCAAAAAAGAAGAAAGCTGTTTTCTTCACAGAAAGTCATTAGGTATAATCATGATAGCCAAACATATGCTATATACTCTATGTAACCATACATACTATAACTGCTGCTGCAGTTTCCGACAATTGGCACGACATCAAGATTGTCATGGTATAAAATATACCATGATATTTCATTAACATTTCCACTGTTAGTAAAAATTGCAAATTCAGTACAAATGGCAATAAAGTAACCTTTTATGTGAGCTGTCATTTCCTGGCTGCACAAACAAACCTATATTGTAGTTCTAATTTAATTTTATATCCTCTTATTTTGTGGTTGTTCAAACAGAATGATCTCAATATGTATTACTAATCTGGCCTTTTAATGCCTCCAATCAATATTTTTGTCCTTTAATATTGATGCATTTCCGATAAACCCTCATGATAGTCTGGAATCCAGGGTTAGTATACCTTTTAGCTTTTTGACTCTATTGATCAATTTCAACACTGGGTAAATGCCTATAATAAGGAATTTCGAGACTTGGATTAATATTATATAAAAACTGCAGTGTTTAAATGATGATCAATTAGAATACCATGTAATAAATAGAACAGAAGTACCTTATACACTGGTCATGTATTTTAGCATTATCATTTACTTTACAGTAATTTGTCATTAACTTTCTGATGTTTCTTATCTCTTTAGGGTGTTCCAGGAGAAGCTGGCGCTGCAGGTCTTGTAGGCCCAAGAGTAAGTATCATTTGAATAGATACTAATGATTACATACATCACATGCAGCTATGTGGATAGGCAAAACCTAAAAACTGTAAAGAATTCAACAAACTTTACCACTTTTTTTTCATATCCTACTGGTTTTAATAAACTAGATACAATTCCTTGTTCTGAATCATAGATTGTGTTCCTTCCTTCACATTAAAAAAAAATGTTGTTTCTCTAAAAGGCCATTAATATTATTGCTACCCTGTAGGGTGAACGTGGTTTCCCAGGTGAACGTGGCTCTTCTGGTCCTCAAGGTCTCCAAGGTCCTCGTGGTCTTCCTGGTACTCCTGGCACAGATGGTCCTAAGGCAAGTTTAGGACATTTTTTGCTGTGTTCTTTGCTTTCTGAACTGATACTGACTATGCACTGTAAGAATTTTTGGAGTTATTGGTTTGTGTGTTAATGTTTGTTTAATAGGGTGCTTCTGGTCCAACTGGTCCCACTGGTGCCCAAGGTCCACCTGGTCTCCAAGGTATGCCTGGTGAGAGAGGAACTGGCGGTATCCCTGGAGCTAAAGGTGACAGAGTAAGTAATCCATTTCCCATTTTAATAATGTCTTGCTAACTCCCTATGAAGGACAGAAATATGTTGCAATCTGTGTACCATCTGAAAAGATTCCCCTCACTTGTCCATACAAGAATAGAAAGGAAATCTCCTAAATGTAGGGGCAGACCACAAAAAAAACCCGGCAAGGATTCCATCCCTCCCCCACTCTATCCAACATTCAAAATAAGAGTTTTGGCTGAAGTTTGGCTTTAAATTAATATCAGTGCATGTTGCAACAGATGACTTTGGCACTACTCAGTGCTTTGCCAAAGACTGAAGATTTTCAAGTCATTTAAGAAATCCGACAAATAATTAAGTTGCCCTGATTGCATTCTGATCATTCAGTTATACTCTGGCTTTAGACATGAATATCCTAATCTTGCAGACTTTTGACCAAGTAGGTCACATCAGTTTGCAATTTGAAATGTAGTCAGAGGGGTTGATTTACTAAAGGTAATGAGCTCTTCACTTTGTAAGGAAAGGAATTTTCCCCAGATCTTAGTGAATTAGGTTCTGCAGACTTCCAATCTTGTGCAAGCAAAAATGCTGTTTTAATATTTTTTTGGACATGATTGGGTATTCTTTTCAGAGTAAGATCTCATCACATTCACTAAGCTCTGGGGGAAATTCCCTTGCAAATTGAAACTTCCCTTGCAAAGTAAACAGCCTGTTTTCCTTTAGTAAATGAACTGCATTGTCTCAAAAGACTGATGGAGGAATAACTACAGTTCACCTATGTGAAACTGGGGTTTATTTACTACTGGAGAGTGCAAAATTAGGCTTGCTTCTAAACAGAAACCAATCAGCTTCTAACCTCAGCTTGTTCAATTAAGCTTTGGCAATAAAACTTGAAAGCTGATTGGTTTCTATGCAGAAGTAAGCCTGATGTTACACGCTCCAGCTTTAGTAAATAAACCCCTGTGTAACTTTCCAGAATTTCTAGTAATTTCTGATTGATTGTGGAAGGGTTAGAACCCTTAATAGAATTTACTGCTGTCAGTGACCCAACTGGGAACATTCCCCCTCACTTCCTATGTGGTCAACAAAACAGTAAGTGATGGAAAATCTCTCCAGCAAGGAGACATGTCAAAGTTCAAGTCTTTGGCGCCCCCATCCAAAGATAAATAAATAAATAAATAACATATAACATGATTTCTGCTTTAACTTATTCAGCTATTTAATAGACTACTTTTGCCACCAGTTCTAACCATCTAGGACTGGTTAGGAAGTTCAGTTGTGAAACATACCCAAATAACTAAACATGTCTTTTTTTCATTTATATATTGTTCTAAACAGAAAACCTGTTTTGTCAATATTTGCTAATGTGCATTTGAACAACCATTCTAATTCTGATGAATTTAAAGTATTGGCAAGCAAACACTTCCGTATCACCTCCTACAAATGTATTGCCCTTGCACTACAAGTTCAGCTTTGCTGATATTCACAGTACGCTGAAACGTATAATGTTACATTTATGAAATCACAAAGTTGCCTTAGTATGGCTGCATTTTAAATTTACAGCCAACTAATTGTGCCTAGTAGTTTACATCTCTGATTATTGATTATATATTCTTTTTTTTTCCTGTTTTCTTTATAGTGGTTGTGAATGTTCTCCTTTTGTCCTTATTAAAGTAAAATAAACACACAAATTGACAACCTATATTTTTTGCTGTTTATATAGGGTGACTCCGGTGAGAAAGGCCCAGAAGGTGCTCCTGGAAAAGATGGTGCTAGAGTAAGTATTGAGATTTTTAACTAAATTGCTTAGTAGTAAAAGTAGCACACAAAAAAAAATATTTACAGTTAAACACGTAGGTAATCTTTGAAGGTTGTACAGTTTGGCAAGAGAATTTTAAATATTGCTTGTGAATTTTTTTTCACTGGACAAAATGTGAAGTATTGTCAAGATGAACGACCCTAAAATAAGATAAGATTATTTGTGGTAATCGTATCGGTAATTCCTGAATTTAGTTCTAATTTTTTTGGTTATCAAGCCACATTATAAGTGGCAGAGTTCAGGGCCTTTACAGTAATATTAGGAACATACACTTCAACAGAAATGTAAACATGTTATTTAATTTACTGGCAACAATTTTTTTAATAACTATTTTTCTTTTGTAGGGTTTGACTGGTCCTATTGGTCCTCATGGTCCATCAGGTCCTAATGGCGAGAAAGTAAGTGAAATTTAATGTACAGGTTTGTTTCATATGGAAATAGATTTTAGAACTTTTTTTGGAGTATATATTGTGATTAGAGTCACCAACAATAATAGCAAAACTATCCCATTCCATTAGTAGACTATTCCACTAAAGTTTATAAACTTACTAGTGTTTGATAGCATAGCAGCACAGAACCTTCCTAAACTCAGGTAGTTAGGAAGACAAGATAAGAAAAAGTGTTATTAGCTCATGTCCCACTATATATTTAAATAATTTGAATATACTAGTTTTATTGAGATGCCATTAACACTAACATATAAACTTACTAGTGACATATATCCATTGACTAGTTTTCACAGCCAGTTTTAAAAAATTTAAATTGTAATGGGTTATAAGAGCCAGCACCCAAACTTTCTTTTTTATAAATTAGCTTCAGTGTGCCAAAATGGCATGCAAATATAGTCTAACAGATAGATGCACACCATATTAAGGCCAGACAGATTTACAAGCATTATGAATTCCACCTTAGCACATAGAGTCTTAATATTCTGAATGTGGCTCCTGTAATGCCCACTACATATATGGGACATTTGTAGACCCTCATATGTTAAGGAGCTGCAAATCATATAGTATCAGGTTTTTTCTTAGTTGTAATAGTTTAAGTTGTAGTTTACCCATAAATGATGAAGTCAGCCATATAAGGTTTATATGCCCTGCCTTTTAAAGTATATGCAAACCCTCTCTTTGCAAAAACATCGAAAGCCAAAACATTTATGTATACATATATAAAAACCTTATAAATATCTTTTTTCCCATTTTTTATAAGTGATTGCATACCCTGTTCTCAGCTGCAGCAGGATCTGGGGGAGGAAAAACAGCAGTACACTGATCTTCCCAGTGAATGGCTGTGCAGGGGGCGTGTCAGCACAAGTCAAATCATTAGATTAGCTCCCAGGACAGCTAGAAAATTGACCATGCTGCACACTCATGCCTAGTGTGGTCAGTTTTTAATAGGAAAGGAGAGGGACTGGCAGGAACACCAGAGATTTCAAACAAAGGAAGCAATAGAAAGAGAACAGGATACTTTTCATAGAAGTACATAGTACATCAGGCGCATATCGGGAATATGAAATGTTGGGTTTACATATTCTTTAAACATTAGCAGCACTAATGGATTCTTATAGATTAACTTGGAAATTGCAAATCATTAAAAACAGAGGACTCAGACATCTACCATTGCATTGCACTTGCAGGCAAATCTTTGTTGTGTCAGTACAGTTTTTTGTATGATAAATATATCTAGAATATTTACATTATGGCTACCAATTATTTGCAGCAATAAACTTAAATGGTTCAGCGGCATACAAGTTTAATTTCAAGTAAATATAATTTATTATTAGGACATTATAGTCGAATGAAATGCAATTGAAATTAAGTGGAGACTATTGTTTTATAATATTGATTGCGCTGTGACAACTATGGAAAACTGAAATTGTACATTTTTTCAATATTTTAGGGAGAGTCTGGCCCTCCTGGCCCAGCTGGTATCGTTGGCACCCGTGGTGCTCCTGTAAGTCTTCTTCATTGTATACACATTATTATATTGATATAGTGTCTTTGTTTGAGTAGCATTGTCGATAAGTACTTAACTATCTAACCTTGCAGCATCAGGATCTGAGTTTGAATCCCATTATGGGTACCAGTGCATGTAATTTGTATTTTAACATGAGTGCTCCAGTTTTCTTCCACTACCCAAAAAAACATACTGGTAGGTTAACCTTTCCTAGTAAGACTTTCTGCACGCAGGCCTAACAATCTACTTCTATATCCTTATTTTACTATTAAAACCCAAAAGATAGTCACAATAGCAAAAACATCCAAACAAGTTTCCCCTAGTTTGCATTGACTTGATTAAGGTTTTTTTTATTTGATTCATGTTGCTTTTGCCATTTATGAGCTATGAGGTGTCTTCAGTTTTACTAGTACAAACCAATGGAGTGAAAACACATTTGGTGTGGATAGCATGTTCCTAATTAGGAGTTTGTCAAATGATTTATCATTCAAAAAAAATTTTGTAATAAACAAATGTTTTCCTCCATTAAAAACTTACAATGTAACTGTTTCCCTTATAGGGTGATCGCGGTGAGACTGGCCCACCTGGTCCTGCTGGTTTTGCTGGCCCACCTGTAAGTTAAAAAAGCTATGCAATATTTTGTTCTAACAATGTAATGTCTTTTGTAATTAAAGTTGACTAGT